ATCATCCAGTTTGAGCTTGTTAGCTTACAATTGACAATTAGAGATGCTAGGAAACATTTTAAAGAGGGAAAGAAGGCCTATATATTGTTAAATAAGTATTGAAGCTGTGGGAAAGAATGTTGCTTCATATCCATTTCATCACACATTTTACAATTTGCCATGCTTCCATAAACAATAGCATAAATAACTCTTTAACTAGTGTTTTTCATCTTGATATGCAGACTCCCAGAATTCTCAGCAGTGACAATGCTGTTTGGGGAGTTCAGGAAATTGGATTTTGCACATTTGGAAATTAGCAAGATTAAGAAACAGTTCTTAAGCAAGAAGAAGAATCAAGGGAATAACATTCTCTCATAATCTCCGTCTCTGCTTCACTGAGCTACAGAAATTTACAATTTGTGATATAGCAGTCCAGTTTAAAGCACTTCTGTGTTCAGGATTTATTTTCTCTAGAAACTTTGAAAGATATCGGATCTACAGTAACATTGAACACAAAGCTTCAGTTTAATGTGCACATCTTATATAAGGAAGAGATGGAGGAATATATAGAAATATCTCCAGTCAAGACCTTCTCCTTGCTAATAGTAGCCTATAGGGAAAATAGGTATTCCTGTTATCCTTGAATCTAGCATCGGGATATGCTAAAATGTTTCCAGGAATGAAAAAGACTTTGGACAAGAAAAAGTAAAAACAGTCTAGATCCATGATGGCAAACCTATGGTACACGTGCCAGAGATGGCACACAGACCCCTCTCTGCTGGCACATGCACCACCCAGCTCAGCTCTCTGGAGTTTCTTTCGTGACCTTCTGTTTCCCTGCAAACGACGAAACAATTCACGAAAGAAAAAGATCTTACCTCTTGCCATGCTGCTAGTATTGGGATGTCCTGTCTCCCAGGTCTCTGGTCTTCAGGTCTCTGCTGCGCATGTCCATGCATGCCTGGGCGTGCATGTCTACACAGGTGCACACACAACTTTCAGTTTAGGCATGTGCATGGTTTGGGCACCCGGTATCTAAAAGGTTTGCCATCACTGGTCTAGATCTTAATAAATAATGCAAGCTGTTCAAATTCTAAAATAATATTTTCCTTATTGAAATAAAAAGTTTAAGTCAATCACCTGTCTATCTAAAGAAAAAGAAGGAATAGGCGTAAAGATTAAAAACAGTTTACATGAGAATGCTCAGAAAAAGCATAGATTAGAAGTAGGTAGTTTGAAATATAATCTTGATAATCAATTGTACTATATATTTCAAAACATAATCTTGCTACATACATTAAACAAATTACTTTTTGAAGCCATATTTAGAAGTTTTGCCCGAAGCAGCTTATATCTTATTTTATTTTATTTATTTATCCAACTTCATTTATTGTAACTTAATCTCACTTTTCTACTCAAAAGCTACTAGGTGTCCTTTGCAATTTATTCCATTTTATCCAATATTCTGTAGCACAGGGTTTTTACCAAAGAGTCGTTTTAATTAAGCACAAATCAGACTTCTGTTTATTAAAAAAATACTTTACAGGGGAAAAATTCTATGCATTCCATTGTACTTTTTTAAAAACAAATAGCTTTCACAGTGATACGCTTGTACAGTCACCTACCGAAAGAAATGCACTGTGTCAAAGGATTATTCACAGAGAGGGATAAAAGTTTCCCATCAGTTTACACTATTATAAAAACTTCTTTAAAACACTTGCTAAAATGTCAATAAATATACTAAGGCCACACAAAGCAAAACAAAAACAAAAAGAAAAAACAGACTTCCAGGCAATTGTACATATCCTTTATATGCAAAGACCTTAGATTATTAAAACCACAGAAAAATATCTTAGCTGCCAATCTAAACTGAATTTAATCACAAAACACTACACAAATCTATTTTATACAACATGTAAAGATAAGTATTTGCTTAGACAGAATTGAAAGTGCTAGATTAAGAGAAGCCCCTTATCAACTACATGTGCTATTGGGTCCTAAAAATATTATGTATATCAATGGAAGGCCATAACATTATTGGAAATGTGTTTATTGGACCAACATATAGTTTATCCACATTACAAAACTTTAGGAGCTGAAGGATAAATATCCTTATTCATAGCAACCTTCAAACACAACCAATATGGCTATAAATAGCATTTGTAAGGAAATAAAGAGTGCTATCCCACCAACAGTAAACACATTTAGAGTTCCACTGATTCCAATGGAGAATTAAGCATCTGCTTATCTCCCATTCAAAATAAATGGAACTTTTAGGTGCTTAACTTTGGCTGGATTGTGCCACAAGTGAAGATAATTCACCACCCAGAATAAATTCCAAGCATATGAATGGCAGCATGAGAAAAAAAAAGTTATATGCATCTTGGGGCTCTGCCTATAAACTTTCTTGTCTCTGAGCAAATGTTATGCCCTCAAAAATAGGAAAACAGCTAACGAGCCCTTTTATTATATGGTAAAAATGTGTAATGGAAGTATTTCTTAATTTCACATGACAACTCCATATGTTCCATCTTCATGGAAGAGAACATATCCATTGTATACACATTAGTTCATGTTCAGAAATATGTGAAGGAGGATGTGAAATATTTAGTTCACTTAAATGTTAATTTTGCTTTTATTGATTTGCTAAATGAATCAGTAGCCCAATACAACCTTTCTTGAATACATATTATTTTTCATTGGTATTTAAACAGAAATAGATTTTTAGTAAAAGAAAAAAAAATTTCCCAGCTTTCAACTTAGAGCTGCTCAGGATCTTTAAATAAGAACCTTTGTGGATCTGCTAATGGCATTTAAAAGGTAGAATATAATGAATGCTTAACTAGTAATAAAACCATTATATAGATTAGAAAATGTATTCCCAAATTGTCCACTACTAATAAAATAAATGTAATGCCTTTAATCTTCATTTGATTTTGTAATTATATAATGTCCACATATTTTGCAATTTATAAAATAAGATTTCTTGTCATGTTCAAGTGAAATCTCTTTGCAAAGCATTAAAGTATCAATTACTCTGGCAAGATCATTTTTTGAATTCATCACATCAGCACAAATCACTCCCAACATCTTCCTGAGACATTAATTTCCATCTCTTTTCTACTTCAAGAGCAAATATTATGTTCTCAAACAAAATCATTAAGATAAACCATTCTGTCACTCACTTTGTCAGGTCCATTTTGATTATTTTTCACTCAAGTGTTTGTATTGGTTTTTCTTACTCTAGAATATACATGGATTGGTACATCAGTTGTAGTGCTTTTGATTAACTATTCCTATAAGAAGAATCTAAACCACTGAGCCAGAGTGCGATGCACGCATTCAGGCTTTCTGACTGAGCCTTCTTCCTACTCCTGAAAAAGCTTAAATTCTGAATCTCAGGAGTTTCTAGGAAAAACAGTCTAGCAGTATGAGGTGAGCTACAGGCATAAAGAGAAATAAGCAGAGTCCTGGCAGATACACCAAAATTCATGCTCAGACTTCTTTGGTATTTGCTAGGGAATGGAGTAATAGTGACAATTCATACTTACTATTGTAAAGATGTGGCCAAAGTAATTGCAGTAAAGATGATATTATTAAATTAAAATAGGTGACTGAAAATAAATTTGATGGTTGAAATGTAAGTCGGTGAATACATAATACCATAAAATTTTGACACAAAACTTTTGAGTTGGAAAAATGCGAGATGCTGCTTCAGAATCATTCATTTAATCTTCTTAATCTTTCATGAATGACAAAAGTCATGAATGCTCATTTCACATACCTTTAGTAGGTTGTTTCTTAATTTAAAAAAGGCTTGTAAGCCTATTGCTGTAATGTGATGGACACAAAAACCCCTTTAAGGTTATTGAACTGGATCCAGAACTGTGCACAATAGAGTTCACATTGGGGGAAAAAATGGGTATTGGTAATTTTTGCCAATTCTTTTCCTCCCGTCCTCTAATGAAGAAGTGCTCTGGAGAGTTGGGAAACATTTTTCCTCTAGCTGAATGCATTCTCTGAATCCTGGTTCCCTCTGCCAATAGAAAAACCTGATTCTGCTCTCAAAGGAGCAAGTTGAGATTCCAACTACTATTTTCATCTTACTCTATTGTCTTTTTCTAATGTCCATTACTAGATTGTAGAATTTGAAACAATTTTCTAATGTATATTTCAAAACAGGATGTGAAGTAATAAACAGTTTTTCATTCAATTATTTTTTAAATCCAACTCCTGAGTGATCATACAGTACACAGTGCAACTTAATGCAGTTGAAATATCCAAGTGACAATTCTGGCATTGTATTTGTTATTTATATCACTTTAACTCTGGGGTAATTGATGTTTGGAAGACGAGGAAAATTAGTGGAAGAAAAATGCAAAAATATGGAGTTGGTGAAACATAAATGAATTACTGAAGCCCATATTATCTATGAAGAATTTTACTTAGGACAGCCAGCTACAGCTTTTGAAAATTCTTCTGGAAAACTGTAAAAAAATGTAAAAAGCCAGAGTACCAGAAGTGGGTTCCTGCCAGTTCTAACCTCTTCTATAGGAGAGGTTCCACAAATCTAGTGCCGTTTAGAACTGGTTCCAGCTTTCTCTCCCCGCCTGTCCGCACATCATCAGGATGAAGAGTGAGAGGAGGAATTCTGGGAGTCCACATGTCTTAAAGCTGTCAAATTTGAACAGGGTTAGGGGTGCAAGGGTCTTGTAACTTGACAACTTTAAGACTTGCACACTTGAATGCCAGAGTTCCTGAGCCAACATGACTGGAGGAGGAATTCTGGGAGTTGAAGTCCACAAGTTTTAAGGCTGTCAAGTTTGAACACCCCCGGGGTTTTTTTCCTAAAGGGTTAGGGGTGCAAGGGTCTTGTAACTTCACAGCTTTAAGACTTGCGTGCTTCAAATGCCAGAGTTTCTGAGCCAAGATTTTGGTTGCTAAGCAAGAGCGTTGTTAAGTGAGTTTCACCACATTTTACAAGTTGGTCACACCCACACAATCACATGACTGCCAAGCCACTCCCACTCAGTCACATGGCCAGCAAGCCACTCCCACAAAGCAGGCCACACCTACAGAAGAGGTTCTAAAAATGTACACAGATGTTTTCTGAACCAGTATTGGTCAATCTAGAATTTTTCATTAAAAGCTACACTCCTGTATAAGAACTCAGTACCTTTTGTAAAAAGGTTTCAATCTAAACACTTTATTTACACAGATTACTTAGAAAGTCCCTACAACTTCAGTATGGAAAGTCAATTTGTTGAAAAATTTTCTACTTGTCTTCAGGACTGCACCAATGTCAATACATAAACGTGTATATATCAGGAGTAATACAAGTTCTATCTAAATACTGCAAAGTTTTCTGATTATTTTGCGATTTGTTTAAAACTCTGTCCTCTTTACTGAGGTGCTAATATGCTTATATTATAATCTACACAAAACAATATTGCACAAATTGCTGTTACAAACATACGAATATTTGTATTTTCCTCACAACTGTTTTGTTGACTTGCATTGGTGTAGCGCTCCCATTCTCTCTTCTACATTAAAAAACAGATTTTAAAATACAAATAAATTTTGATTAAATCGTGATGAAGTTCAGAACTATTAGGGGGTCAATTTCATTTTACTATCCAAAACAAACATTGTTCTGTATATAATGAATAAAAGCTGAATCTACTTAATGCTGAGAAATATTGAAGGAATGCTAAATAATATCAGCCAATTATACTGAATATACTAACATGTGCTGTTTAATCTTCCAATATAGCATTAAGGAATCCAAGAATTACTTGCTAAAGTAGCAATCCATATATGATTATGTGACAGTTTATTGTGAATCAGTTATATATAATTATAAAGAATAGAGGAGATACAGGCCTGCCCTATTATATTAAGTGCCTCAATGTGAAGGAGTTAATGGTTTCTCTCTTAAGATGCCTATTGTGAATTAAACAAGCCACCAAGTTGGTTTAAATATTGTAAAGCCTTAAAGTGCTCAAAGATAGCAGTTTCGTCAAAGAGACTGCTAACAATTACTTTCATTAGACACTAGTGTATTAAGTTATGCAGTTCGGAAAGATATTAAAAAAATATTCCAATATACATTAAAAGCAGAGGACCATGAAAGAGCTGTATTGATAATTTCATTTCAACAAGTTCATACACTCTGCAACTAATCTCATACATCAACTTCTTACTGAATGTCTTCTTAAGCAATTAAGAGTTAATCTACACTGCTGGTAACTTGAGCTTCCTCCAGGCTTTCAAACTCTCTCACACATACAAATGTCATTGATCATTAAAAGTGCTGTGCTTTCTCTTTCATTCAAGCCATTAATTGAATGGGAGGGAGAGTCACTTTGTGAATCTGCCACAGAAACCATCCCTTTTATGGTGAAAGCTAAAGATAAAATAGATGAAAAGTTATCAGACTTATCAAGTGTTAAATACTTGATATTTCTGAAGGAAAACTATTGAGATGTTGAATTATTTACCTCATCCCTTAAAAAAAGAAATGCAAAAAGTTGTAGTCCACTACTACATGCTGTACTAAGGGAATAAAATACAACTCTAACTTTGCATAATCTGTGTAAAAAAGATACGCTTGACATTTTGGAATGTCACCTTTCTTTATAGAATTATAGGCAAGTTTTCTCCAATAAAACATAACCCAGTTATAAAACTATAACTTCACATCAAAATTTTAAAAAGCTGTTTAAAAATGTATGATTATGTACATATCAGACAAGAAAGAGTATATGATCCTTCTGTGGATTGTGTTGCTGATCTGATTCTAGTTTTAAAAGCTGGAAGGGGCAAACCAGCTAATCTTGTTGCAGAACAAGTCATGACAGGGATGAAAACAGTGATGGTGATGCTACTGTCGCAGTCTGTACTTCTCTTTCTTCTTCAGACTCTTTTTTTATAAGTACACATTGGTCTTCACCTTCCAGTTTCACCGTGTCCGTATTTGAAATGTTTTCCATACACTGAGAATCCTCTGCTCCAGGATAGTATTGTTTGAGTCTTATATGCCAAGCTAAACTGCAGACAGCTGACACTGTCTTGAACTGATGAATGACATTTCTAGGGATGAAGTAGATGTCATTGTCACATAGCTGGATTCTGGCATAACGAATCCCTTCTCGTCTCATTTGGTTTAGCTTAGCTTCATCAACCCATTGAACACACTGAAGGGGGGGAAAGAGATAACTATGAGTAAGATAAAAAATTGTATTTTTGGTGCTGTGTATTATTATGTCATAAAGACTGTTGGTTGTGATGAAGTCAGCATGAAGTCTAAATGACACATATTCCATGAACCATATACTGAAGCTACTGCTATGCTAATAGAACAAATAAAGGAAATTACCATTCTAATAGGAGGCAATCAATCAATTTGGAATGTTAATGAACAATTATAACTAAATTTTGTATTGAGTGGGACCAAGTTACAGATTAAAAAACTTTAATCTTAAATTTAACCCAAGTATAAAAATGCTTTTTTGGCCTTTCTTATCACAATGAACATCTAAGCATGTCTATAAAACCAGATATTCTGTTCAGAATTTACCTATATCTTGCTTTTCAAAACAGTTTAGAATATCACAAAAAATAAATAAAATTAAAATATCTTAAAACATAGCAAAAATATATTTAAAAAAGCAAATATTTAAATATATGTCTTCTGAAATCAATATGTTTTAAACCCTGAACCAAGCATAAGAAATCTTGTGTCTACTATTCTTACTCACAAACAACTGCTGGCTTCTTCTCTTGGGAAGGAAACAACAAGGATTTTTTTTTTAAGAGGATGGGGTTATGCTAATTTGAGGAACTTGTTTCTCTTTAAAGAAACATTACCTAATCTACCTCCAATCCCCACTTATTTATGCATTTCAAGCATGTGTATGTTGTTCTGGAGACTTTATTTCATAATCAATGAACAGAGAAAACTTTCAGGAAAAAATAACAGCATTTTAACTGGGAAATAATATATATAGCACACTAAAAGACTACCTGTGATACTGGAGGTTCATGCAGATCCAACTGAAGTCTTTGAACTACATCAGTGAAATCTTCAGCATGAAAACAAACAACATCTTTGGTTATACGAGGCTGGTCACTCCTGGAGAAATGAAGATTGTAAAAATATGTTTGAAAATATTAGTTAAACTTTGAAAATTCCATATATTCAATAGCAAAACAATGCACCTCCTCTCTCACTTTGATGGTCAACCTCTAGGAAATATTTCCTTTTTATCTATATATTATGGGACATGTAAATTCATGTACTTTGTAATTTGGATTTTAAGAATTTATAGCAAAAATGCCTTGTAACAAAAACATTATTATAATGTACATTCTGTTAAAAATCAACACAATACCCACTCTTACCATTCACCAAACTGCACAGCTTTTAAAACTCCAACAGCAGCTGTACTCTGCCAATCAAACCCTTGCCCAACATGATCAGCATGCGCTCTTGTTCTGTCTTCAAAGAGAGCTTCACGGGGTTCACTGGTCCGAGGTAGATACTGGAGATTTTTTATTTCATTCATAGATCTATGAAATGGAATGAAAAAGAATTTAATTATTAAATTTATAAGGGGATATACAAAAATGTCATAAAAACAGAAAATCAGCTATCCTAACTTTTCTACATCGTTATACAGGCACTACTTTGATAAGTGGCTATTTAATTCTAATATCAAATGCAATATAAATTAAAATGGAAAACAGTAAAAAGATGGAACGTGTAACAGTAAAAGGCCACTTTTTAAAAAGTTTATGCAGATGTTATATACCAGGGATTATTCTATGTACTATTAGTAGGCCTTTTGAAAGAAAAATGCTGCAGATAACTTCAACTTTTTCACAGCTTAAATATAATACACAGACAACAAATGCTTACATCGCAGAAATTCAATGAACTTAAAAGTTGGCAGTGTGCAGCCTTCCAGAACCTTCACCAGGACTGATGCAAATTGAGAGTTCAAAGGCACCAGGGGAACCCACACTAGAATGCTATGCACAGTGCCTTGAGCTCCTGAAGTAAAGACAGGATATCAAACTAACTAATAATGTAACAATGTGCAGCTATGACACAGTCTTCATTGTCTTGCTCTTACAACATTAATGATTTCCTACGGTTAATATCATTTTAATGTTTTACTCCAATATAGCAATATATGACAGTAGCTATAAGTAGCTGAATGGAAATATATTTTAAATCAAATAAAGTTTATATTAGGTGCACTGAACTGGAAGCTGTTGTTTTAATTTATGTAGATATTCCATCAATATCTATTGCATTGCCTAACAAAAAATTTCATCTTGGGAGTTTATCATGCAATGTATGATACTGACAGAGGGGAAAGGAGTGGCAGCATTACAAAAAATATGTACAAAATTATCACGATGACTTAAGCTATATTGGAAGGGAAGTTTACTATTACATATATGTCAACTAAGTTTCAGAAATTGTCAGAATAATAAACAGCCAATTTTGCTGATGAGATCAATTCAATTAAAATTTAAAGGTACAAATCCCTCCCAGCTATAAAAATTACCTGCGCCTTTTGAATGGTGACTTTGGCATATCAGCTGTTGGGATCATCTGTTCACCAGGTCTTACCCACATAATGGGCCCATCATCACTTTGTGACCTACATTGAAGTCTGAGACTTGAAAGAGTACCCCAAGGCAAAGTCATCTGAATATCACAAAAGAAAACTAGTCAGCTAGCAACATAAATTGCTTTGGATATTTTATGAACAGATGATCAATTTCTTTATTAAACTATAATTTGTACAGTCAATAAGAATTTTATGTTTTCAGTATAATTTATTTCATTCTGTCATGCAACAAAATTAGACAAAAATCACCAATTTCCTAATTAACTATTCTCTTAATGTTTAATAATGCTTTATCACTTTTTATTCTACCACCAATGCAGTGCTAACATTAGTTAAAACTTAAATCAGCAAAAGAAGAAGCAAAACTTTAATACTTACTCTAAGAAATGGGGATTCTTCTAACATATCAAGAAACTCTGGAAAATAATCTCCAACTTCTTCATCTACTGCTCCAACAAGACTGATCTGCCTCATCGGACCTGCTCTGTAAGTTCCACAGCAGTACGTTCGACTGACCTTTTAGAGAAAAAAATAAAACTATTTATCCCACAGCTTTAAAGTAATTATCAATTTCCTGTGAAGTCAAAAATATTGGCACTGATCATATACAGAACATACAAATATCTGAGCTTGAAACTCCCCTCTCCTATTATTCATATGGGGGAGTGCAACAAATACAAACATTACTCTGTTAATCAAAGAATGATTGTTGGCTTATCTGAATGGTCGTTCTCTAGGCGCTGCGGGAGTGTCCAAGCATGGGTTAACGTCAGCTTCCTGCCCAAGGACTGAGTTCAAAGTTTGTGTAGCCATGCCTCCTGCTCCCTTTAGAAGCTCAGTTTAAAAAAACGAAGGGATTAGATTATAAAGATGCTGTAAATAATAAAGGTTATGTCCATGGAGGTGATAAGCCATGCATCTGCGGCGACGTTGGACACTCCCGCAGCGCGTAGAGAATGACCATTAAGGTAAGCCAGCGGTCATTCTCCTAGGCACTGCTTGGAGTGTCCAAGCATGGGACATACCCAAGCTATGTAATCCCAGGGTGGGAAGAAGGAATGTCCTGGTTAGTTTGAGCGCACCACACGGCGCACGTCCAATTTGTGCCAGGTGCACTCCCTGGGATGTCTGGGGTGTGGGCAGAAGTTGGGGAGGATGACCTCCTAAGAGTCCTATGGAATAAGATATTAATTTTTGGGAGAAAAGCTGGATCCAATCGCAGAATGACTCTGTCCGAATCTATTATGCAAAGGTCCTCCCTGAGAGCGGTGCCAACTCAGAAATTTTGCGTGCTGAGGTAATGGCTATGAGAAAGGCAGTTTTAAACAACAAAAGTCGCAGGCTAATGGAGCGAATTGGTTCAAATGGCGCCAATGTTAGGGTCTGCAGGACAATTGATAGATCCCAAGTAGAATATCAGTGTACCTTCGGGGGGCGTAAGTTGGTGGCCCCCTTCAGAAAACTGCAGACACTTGGGTGTCTGCTGAGTGGTTGAGAAGAGTCTCTGGACAAAATGGTATCTAAAGCAGCCGTCTGTCTCGAAGAGTGTTGGGGGCAAGGCCCTTATCCAACCCCTCCTGGAGAAAATCCAGGATTTGTGGAATGGTCGCTGCTGTGACAACAATGTGATGGGACTGACACCAGGAGGAAAACATAGTCCATGTTGTGTCATAGATCCGCACCGTAGAAGGTCGCCTGGACACCTGGATCGTGCGGATGACCTTGTCAGAGAAGTTGTCCTGTCTCAGGAGGTCCCCCTTAAGTGGCCAGTTGTCCTGTCTCAGGAGGTCCCACTTAAGTCCTCCAAATGGCCAATTGGAGCCATTGAGGATCCAGATGCAGAATGGCCCCTTGGCTGAGGGAGATTTGCTCCTGAGGTATGTGCCAGTGTTTGGACACTGACAGGCTGACAAGGTCAGCGAATCAGGACCTCCTTGGCCAATGCAGGGCGACTAGTAGTACTTTGGCGCCCTCCAACAAGTTCTTACTGATCACCTGAGGTATCAGGGAGAGAGGTGGAAAGGCGTATAATAGGCCGGGAGGCCAGCGGCATTGAAGAGCGTCCGTCCCTTTCACGCCGGAACATTGGAATCTTGAGAAGAACCAGGGGATGTGAGTGTTTGCTGGACTGGCGAACAGGTCTACCATCGGAAGGCCAAACCTCTGAGTCAATTGGTGAAACAGAGATGGATGAAGCCGCCATTCCGGGTTGCTGATGGTTGTTCTGCTTAGCCAGTCCGCTGTCACATTCTCCTCTCCCGAGATGTGGTCTGCTCTCAATGATTCGAGGTGGTGCTCTGCCCATCGCCATTAGGGCTCTCGATTGAGTCCCGCCTGGTGGTTGACGTAGGCTTTGGTGGCAATTTTGTTCATCAGTATTAAGATGTGGGATCCTTCAGTGAAGTGATGGAAGTGGCGCAGGTCTAGCCTGGCAGCTCTGAGCTCCAGCCAATTTTTGTTGTGGGCAAGCTCCGCCTGTGACCATCTGCCCTGCGCCACATGAGTCTGCATATGGGTGCCCCAGCCGTACAAGCGGGTGTCTGTTGTTATGACCAGGCACTTTGGTTCCTTAAGGGACCCCCTCTTCAGAGCTGCGGACTGCCACTACCAGAGCAACTGGATCACCACCCTCTTGGAGTTGCTGGCCTTCCGTCATTGAAATGGGAGAAGGAACCACTGAAGATCCCATGCATGTAACCGTGCCTAGGGAACTACTGCGATGCACGAGATCAGTTTCCCCAGCAGCTGGGATAGATTGACCAGAGGTGCTGACTTGGACCTCCAGATCTGACTCACAAGGGAGGTGATGCTGTCCATTCACTCCTGTGTGAGGAATACTTAGCAGGTCCTGCAGTTGGTCACTGTGCCCGGATGCTGGATTCTGGAGGTTGGCTTCAGATGGCTCTTTTCCAGATTGACGGAGAAGCCATGTTGTTCGAGCATGTGGATGGTGACGCTGAGATCCCGACATGCCTGCTCCCTGGATGATGACATCAACAAGATGTCATCCAGATAACAAACAAGTCTCAGTGGACAAGATCGGAGATGTGCAGCGACAGTGGTCAGAAGCTTGGTAAACGTCCTGGGGTCCGATGATAGGCTGAAGGGAAGAGCCTTGTACTGATAATGCTGGTCTGCAAATTGAAACCTCAGAAACTTGCGATGTGCTGGATGAATGGGAATGTGCAGGTACGCCTCCTTCAGGTCGATTGACGTCAGGAAGTCGCCCTGCCTGATGCAACCCAATATGGTTTGAAGTGATTGCATCTCGAATTGCTTGTACACTAGATGAATGTTGAGTTTCTTGAGGTCCAGTATGGCTCTCACCCCTCCCAAGGATTTTGGGACCAGGAAAAGGATGGAGTAGAATCCCCTCCGCTCCTGGCCTACCGGAAACTGCTCGATGGCAGCTATGTCCAGTGGATGCCTGATCTCTGCCTGCATTAGATGACGTTTGTGAACTGACGTGGGGAATGGGCAATGGACAAATGTCCGTGGAGGGTCTGAAAGGAAATCTAGGGTGAGACCATGACGGACTGTGTTCAAGACCCAGGTGTCCGTCATTGTTGCCTCCCACTGGTCAGCATACAGTTGTAACCGGCCCCCTCGGAAGGACCTGCGACTACCCTGTTGTCTATTTTTGTCCCTGAACATTGCCCTATCCTGGGTACGATCCTGCATCTGGGAATAGGAACGGTTAAATCCTCCAGAAGAGGCTGGAGGGTCTGCGTTCCGAAAGGGCTGCCTGCGGAAAAAGGAGTGACGTTTGCATTCAGACGTCTTGGTAACGGTTGGTAGAACCTTGCGTTTATCCTTGGATTCTATTAAGACCGAATCCAAGTCCTCTTCAAAGAGCTTTCCCCCTTTGAAGGAAGCGGAAGCGAGCTTCCACTTGGCCTTCATGTCAGCCTGCCAGTGTCTGAGCCACAATAGACAGCGTGATGTTACATTTGAGGCCAAGGCTCTTGAGGAAAATTTGGTGGCATTAAGGGAAGTGTCAGCTGAGTATTCAACTGCATCTGGGAATAGGAACGGTTAAATCTTCCAGAAGAGGCTGGAGGATTTTATTGACATCCTGGCGCAGACTTGTGTCATTCTCTGGCAATTTGGATTGCAGCTTACGGAGCCAGACGAGGGATGCCCTACTGAAAAAAGAGGATGAAGAGGAGGCCCTCATGGCCCATGCGGTGGCCTGATGAGTCTTATGGCAGGCCTTTTCCGCCCTCTTGAGAAAAGTACTTACTCAAGTTTTTTGTGTCACTGCACAGCATAGTGAACATAGGAAACAAAGAAAAGCAGAAAGGAAACGAAAAAGCCAAGTGAGCTAAAGATAAAGACTACAAAACTATCTTCAAAGAGTTTCATGTTCTTCTGACCTGTTAATATTATCAAGCTTGGTTTAATTTTATCACGTTTATGGTTCATGGGATTGAAGCCAACCAACCACCTTGGATGTAGCTGCAAGGGGAAAATTGACCTAGACTGATCAGAGGATTGTATAAAATGATGGAGAAAGAACCAGGAAAACTTCAAAACGCATCACAGCTGACTTCCAAGAGCAAGGTGCAACAATATCAAGTCAAACCACCCATTACTGAAAGATGAATGAAAGTGCCTCCATGGTAGAAAATCCATGAAGTCTTCACTCTGAAAGACAGAGACAAAAAAGGCAGACTGGATTTGATAAATTGTACCTTGAAAGCCACAAGTTCTTTTGGAAGAATGTTCCAGAAGATGAAACAAAATTAGAGCTTTTTGTAAATCAGTAACTCTATATTCATTGAAGAAAAAAATGATATTCTAAAAGAAAAAATAACCAGTCCTATTGTAAAACATGGAGGAGGTTCAGTACCAAGTGCCTTGAATCTCAATTAAATGAGATTTTCAAGATCTTCTGGAGGGAAGATAATACCCAATATTAGAAAGGTCTATCTCGGTCACAAATCTTGTGTCCTCCAGCACTATAATGATCCAAAATAATGCATCTAAGAGAACCCAAAAATAGTTGAAAAACAAAACTTGAATTGTTTTGAAGTAACCTTCTGTAAGTCCAGTCTGAATCCAATCTAACTTCTATAGAAAGAGAGAAGGGACCTATGAAACTTAAAGACAAATGGAGCAATTTGCTATAAAAGAATGGGACAAATTGCTGGTTGAGAAATATATGTCTTATTCAGAGCTACAGAAATTGCTTGATTGCAGATGCTATTTCTAAAAGGTATACTATGCAATATTTAGTTAGGTCCCACTAATTACGCCCATGTCATTTTTCTTTGTTTTATATGTTGCAAGAAAACATATAGTCATACATCAAAGGCAAAATGTCTGCTCTATGGACTAGAGAACAAAGATTGGTGAATGACTTTGTGTCAGTATCAACATTTTTCATGATTAACCAGATCCTCTGAAAAAACGTGGCTACCAATACTTTTGACTGTGTCTGTAAATGTCAAATGAATATTTAGACTGTAGTAGTTTCTTTGGTGGGATGTTTTGAAGTGTTATCCACCATGTTTTTTTCTTTTTATTCTTTACTTTGGGGGATGTGATTGTTTCTTTCATTTTTATTGTATTGAGGGCCATCCAAAATCATTTGGAGTTGAGCAACATTAAATGTAATGAAATAAATAAATGAAAACCATGAAGATAATGCCCTCCCTAACCTCTTCCACAAACCAATTAAGGTAAAAGAATGTAGGATTTGGTGGGAGCAGAAAGGATAGTCTGAGCATCATTACTTTTCTTCTGTAAATTTTTTCTATACCTTGTGAAAGCAATTTATGTTTTCCATGATTTAAGATTTAAATCTAATTTCTATTTTATACTAAGTACAAGTAGATGTTTGCTCTTGGAGACTAAGACATTCTCATCAGCCATTTTTCAACAATGCAATCCTACCAAAAAGACTCAAATTATCAGTAAAGGCTATATCTAGGTTTTAAAATTCAAAAATAATGCCATTTCTTATATAGAGGCATAGTATGGAGTGGAACAATGGAATGTGAAATGTGTGAAGGTAATATTGAACTGTATTTGACACATAGCATGCAAAAGCAATTGGAGGTGGGAAATATAACTAACAGAAAGCATTCTAGATTTCAGCTTTCTGCGTATTACAGTCATCAACACCAGATTCAAATTAGAATTCAGGCATGCCGGGAAAATTTCTCTTACCTGAGTGTGAAAGTTTGAAATTGTGGTTGTTTCAATGTCTTTTTTGCCAAGGATTTCCATTTTCACTGGAGTGCTAGGGAAATTGAAAGCAAAGTAATCCAAGAAGTCTGGTAAGTATGCAGCTGCCCCATGAACTATCGCTAGAGCATAATAAGCTGCATTTTTCTCATTTTCACTGAATGTCAAAGCAAGAAACTCTTCTGCAAATCTCTCCATCTCCACTGGAGACAAAAATGAGAGTTCATCCATATAGGCATGAAGAACTAGAGCTCCTCCATTTGATTGATGCTCTTCATGAATAAAATTACTAAATTTAGTGCCTGTTTTTAAGAAGCTGTTGCGAACAGAATGCTCCTGGTGGGTAGTAAATGGAGACTGCACCCCCTGGGGTATCCTATATTCCTCCATGCCCACATTCAACTGACACAGCTGCTCGTCTTTTAGATACCTAAAAGATTCCTTGTTCTCTTCCAAATTATCACTCTCCCCTGGAGTCAACATATCTTTGCTGACACGAGTAAGACCAGCACACACTGTCTGTACTTCTTTGTTGTACATTTTCAGATGCCTCCCTCTCATGTCTTCTCTGTGTTTCTTTTTCTTCTTCTTCTTTATTTTCTTTACAATAAGACTGTCAGATCTTTCTGTCTTGCCATTTTCATCTCGGGTTTCTAAAAGTAGTAACAATAAGATATTTATGTTGCAAAAGAATTATATTTAATAAAAGTATGTATTTTTTCAATAATGCACCAGTACTTCACTAAAAGGTTAATATAGTTACTTTTAAAAATTGGCTACTGTTATATAAGAAAATGCTTTTTACTTTTACATACTTATACATACATACATACTACATAAATATGTACTAGTCATTTCTATAACAACAAATATATCTAATCAGCAAAACCCAAAGTTAAAGTTTCTTTTTTTTCCATCTCAAGCATAAAATCCAGAAGTGGATTATCAGCAGAAATAAAGTTGAATGTGTTTTTTTTTCTTGGATTAAATCAGTTAATTTAGCCATCTCTGATATTTCCATTAGCTTTCTAGCCATGCATCCATTGTACAAATTAAAGTATCTTTTTTGTGTATATAAAGCATTCTTGTTGCTGTCAAAATATCTAACAGCAAAGTTCCAGATTTTTTCCAAGTTCTTGCCAACCAACATTCCTTGACTGACAGGACCAGCAATACGCCAAACCATAATCAAATTGGATGGGTAGAAACCACTGGGACAAGATAATTCCTAAAATAACATAATCCCAAGCCATTAACGGCTTTAAAGTAATAACCAACATCTTGAATTGCACCTGGCAACACACTGGCAACTAACTTACTTCTAGTGATAGAACTACTGATACTGATAAAATGTCTCTATCTCAATTCTGTCATTAGTATGTTTTCTCTGAAAAAAACACACAAAACAAAATTGTATAGCAACAGCAGTTTGAACAAAACCTCTTAAAGAAGGCCTTGTGTATGAAATCCAATAACTTTCCTGGTCAAGATTTTATTACCCCATAGACTTAAATGACACCTGTGTTGATACTGTCAACTGAATTTCAAATTAAGTGATATAATGCTCTCCGAAAAATAGTTTGATTACAGTTCCCCTATTCACTGATACTTAGTAGAATTAATAAGCAACTTCTATTTCACATTATATAATCATATGTATACAACACAATATTAGTAACCCTTAATTGTTGTAGAGACAGAATGATGGAAAAACTCATACAAAAATCAGGCCATCTCACAAAAGTAATTTATTTAATGACTTTAAAATAAAATCTGACTCAATTAATTAAAAGCCTATCCTAGTCCTGCAATATTCCTCACAGAAGCCAACCAAATGCTTCTTAGTTACTCTGATGCTGAAGGTAGAAAGGTTATTCCTCTCCCACCACTGTTTCTCTACAGCAGATATTCATAAGTATGTCGCCCACAATCCAGAGGTAACACTAAGCTTTCAAATAACAGCCCTCAATGAATCCAGTCTCTAAGACCGCATCCCCTTGGTCTGTAGAAAAAGGCTGGGGGCTGCTGTTTTTCATACTTACGTCAGCATCTTCATTGAACCCATTTACCATCAGCCCAAAATCTTTTTCCTAATTATAGAAAGTTCAGATATTAAAATTGGGAGGTATAGCCCATGTAAATTGGTTTGCATTTACTCAAGTTGAAGCCCATTTCCCACTAAATTACCCAATTCAAAGGTATACTTCTGGAGCTCTTCACAATTGGTTTAGTATTCTCACCCTCACAAGTTCAGTTGCTCTAACAACTTGACCAACTCACTACCTATCAGTAAGTTAAGGTCAGTTAGGAGCAAGATTAAAAAAATCACTTCCCAGCATATACTGCTAATATACTCCATTTCTTGATTCTCTTCTTTGGAAAACATATTTTTTATTTCATAGCTAGTTAGCAATCCAGAAAAGGTAGATTTTCTACTAAAGGTACTCAAGAGCTTTCAATGAATAATACTGTACACTTAAATCCTCAAACCTTGGGCAGGACCAATGGAATCACTGCCATTCATGTATTTAATAACATTCAAATTGTATGAACATGGTAAGGAAAAACTGCTTTTACAGAATCTTGCTTTTGTTGTTCTTGAATTATAAATCTCAGTATTTTGTAAAATTTGTCAGTTCCAGTTATTAACTGTGCACCTTTATCTTGGCAGAATTGGAATTTACTTTCCAAATGAATATTTTCTATTTTTGCCTTGATGACATTTGTGCATAGTATTTGTTCTTGGATAGCAAAAGCATTTTGCTGTTTCCATTTTTAGCACATCATTCTTAATCCATTACCATATTCTGGTAATTTCCTTCAATATCCTTCAAAAAAATGCCCACAGGGTGCTTGTGTTTTCCACATATCTGATGTCATTTCAAGCTGTTTGTCTATAAAATTACGTTCTTACATTTAATTTTTACATATAGCTTTTTTCTGATATTTGTTTAACAAAAGCTTATTTACTTCCTTCAAAACAATATAAAGGCCTTATTTTTCTTTTCTCCAAAGCTTATCTGTAACGTTCTCATCCAACCTCTTCTTTGGAAGACATCATCTATTAACATCACTGTGAGGATGTAGGGCAGTACTCATAATCATTAATCTTCTGATTTGCTGATCAGTTATCAACCATCTGATTCCAACTGAGTATTCCTGCAGTATACTGAGTTATCAGTATTGCCCATGAGCTGATGGCTCTGACTGTACTTCCACCATTTAGGCTAAATTTTAGAATTTTTAATAATTGTTTGCAATTTAGTGAGTCTATTTTTCCTTTTACTATATTTGGTTGCACAAAATACCTGATGTTTCCAATATCCACAAATTTAATCTTGTTCAGCTGCTGGCCTGTTGATTTTTTCCTTTATGATCTGAATACTTTGTTGTAAATTAATGATTTTTTTTCTTTACTTCAATTATAGCAAAGAACATCATTAGGTAATTATTCCTGTTCATCTTTTGATTGCATTGATAAGTAAAGAGAGAGAGACTTTTAGATGTTGTTTGAAAACTGACAGCCATGTTTTACCTTATTCAGCATCCTTGGCAATAGGCCCATCACTAAATTAAATAAAAGTGAAAACTGAGCACTTGAGGCTAATTTGGTCAAAGAAAATTTCAGTCAGATGGAGGCAGCAGAAGACAAGGAGCTAGATTCAGATTCTACTGTTTTCCCTAAAGCATGCTGAGTTGGGCATAGAGCAGAACAGAAGAATTCTGCAAGACTTCTTGTATGACAAGGGCATGGTTCATTTAAGAGCCTTTGCTGGCAAGCTGTTCTCCACTGGGAACTATCACTCTATTTACCGGAGCTCTATGCTTTGCCTGTTGAATCTGTTCCTTAAGAAAACCCTGTTCCTTGGAACCTGACCCAATTTTGGACCCTTACACTTCTAGAGTATGACCCGACTATGCTTCTGTCCGCAGTCTGGATTCTAGCCATTTGGAAGTCTCTGTAGACAAGCTGGTAGGCATTTGGGGCTTTGCTGCTTTGTGTGTATATTTACACATATGTCCTCTTGGCCACTGCCTATATTTACTAAATCCTAGGTAAAGCTCCTTGCAACTACTTGGGGCGTACATGTCTGATCAGGACAATTCACAATAATGAATCACCTTGAAAGATCCTCCTTTTTGACTCCACATAATTGATCGTTATTTACAATTAACTTTGTAACTGAGCTTTCAACTTTTCCATGCTTTTATTGTATCTACAAAATCTTAAATTTTAATTGATACAAAATAATGTGCATATTTTTCATAATATAGCCATTTGAAAGAAGTCAAATGCCTTCTTGTAATCATTCCAAGCAATACATAAATTCATTTTTTTAGGATTGTTTTATTAATAAAGAACATTTTTGAGTCATTGTGAATTTTTCAGTTTCCTTTTTGTTCAATTGCATAGTCAGAAATTTCCTTTAGATAAACATAGTGACTTCACTATTATTCCAGTAAGCGTTTTGAATGTGGTAGGCAAACAAGTTATCAATCTTTAGTTTTCAGGTATGAATTCTTTTTGTGTTAAAAAGTTTCTTTCAGATTCATCCAGGCTTCATTTGTTCCACTCTTTAGTGAAACATGAAACTGATCAGGTAACTGTAGATTTGCTAACCGAGCAGCTACTTGGCTAGACATTGATGTTAAAATCTATCCAACACATCAGTCCCAGATATATTTGTTGTTTTCTCTGACTGCTTCTAACTATTAATCCCAATACAGTTAAAATGTTCATAGCTTTTTTTCCTTTTTATTGCATTTTTGTAATTTAACTATATTGTGTGCTCTTTGGTTTTATAATTAACTTCTAGCAAAATGCATTTTTAATTGTCAAGTTTCAGGGTTTTATTTTTCTTTGATGGTACTTTGAGTTAATATCCATATAAAATTTATGATTTGTTCTAAATTGTAAATTTTGTTTACATAGGTTTATGCAGTTTGATTTTTTTCCTGACAATGCCACAATTTTCAGTTTCAGTTTTGCTTGAACGTCAGCTGTGCTTTAGTTTCTGATGTAATGTTGCATTTTTAGATTCAGTTGCAGCTTTTCAGTTTTTATTAGGTTTTTAAACCACCCTCATTACTTTTAAAAAAGCTTAAGTTTTAAGTTTTTTTTCAAACTGTTCAGATTCAAAATTTTGAATAAATTAAAAGAAGTTTTTAACATTTTCCCTAAAGCTATTTTTGCTGTTCTTATTAAATGCTTTTATTAAAACTGTTTCTGACACAGTTTGTGCTCTTTAGTTATCTTCACTAGGCTTCAGTTTTCATTTCCTAAAGAAAGCTTTCTTCACTTTTACAGCTGTCTAGGCCCTGTTAAAATGCATTAAGAGCATTAAATATGCTGTCCTCTGCCGTGTCTTGGTTGACTCTTTCTTACCTTATGGAATACATGCAATATAAGTTTTGATTATTGTTATTTAAAAAAAAGACCCTGCACATCAGATGAGCATATTATTTACATCAAATGGTGGCACAGTGGTTTGACTGCAGTATTGCAGGCAAACTGTGCCCATAGCCAGGAGTTTGATCCTTCCAAGGTCAGTAAAATGAGGGCCCAGATTGTTGGAGGCAGTATGCTGACATTTATTAACCGCCCACAGAGTGCTGTAAAGCACTACAGAGTGCTTTAATTAGTATATAAGTCTAAGTGCTATTGCTAGTTATAGGCAACACCTGCCACCTTTAGTATTATCTGAAGGATACATTCTTTCAATGTTTGCTATTATAAAGCATGTATGCAGGATACATATATAAAATTCATATCCAGACATCATACTCCATTGATTCACACTATCCCATTTCTAGTAAACTCTCTTGTTATTAATTAAAAGCTACAAGCAGGAATTTATAACCAGTTGATGAAAGATTGGTGAAAACTATCACCACCATCAAGATACTACTTGTCACATAAACAAAAGTGATATTTCAGTTTCCCCCTCTTAAAATTTAAGATTTTTCAGAACTAAGAGAATTTGAAGACCTCAACTAGAGGAAGAAAACAGTTATTAAGGCTTACAACAGTACTGAGGTTCTTTCCACGTTACCAGCAGCATCAGAATTAATACTGAAATCTCCAGAAGCAGAAAGTTCAGGAATAACAGACAGAAAAAATATCTGTTCAGGAAAACTATCTCTAGGAAAATGGGCTAACATGTTTAGCTAGGGATATTGTGTTAATGTTTGTTTTTTTCTGCTGTGCTACAATTTTGTTTTTATATACAAGGTAGAACACTTTGTGTTCATAAAGTTATATTATTTCTGTATTATTTTGCTCCAATGTCTTTTTTCCCCACACTTGTAGCAGAATGATACCAGCTTGTGGTCTGCCCCATCTCTTTTGCACTAAATTAAGAGCAAGACATGAAGTAAGGCACATTCTGGATAGCAGCAGCAGGAACTACCAAACCAAAGCAGGAGGTAGAATCAGGTGCAAGACCTAGAGAGCTTTTGGGAGAGAAGGTTTGATACTTCTAATCTACTGCTATATGGGCTAGGCCATTCTGCCACATCATTGTATCTATATTTTTATTTGCAACCAAGTGCTACTACCGTGGCACAGATATGTATGTATCACAAACTTTTTCAAATTTCTAGCTAATTTAAACGGACCTGCCTACACTACTATTTCATTGGCATATATGTGAAACAGAGACCACTTCCAAGAATATCTTGACAGTTCTCCACTAAAATCTCTTACCTAGTAATCTCAATTTTACTTTCACGGCTGGCTGCTTATTTTTTTCTTATATTATTGGTATCAACCTATACCACACCACCGCCTCTTCCTCAGTCTTTCCAGAACCTATCTAAACAACATGCAACTTCCACCTCTCCAGATCAGGCAGGCAGGTATAGGATCTTCATACCAATCACAAACACACATGACATGGTAGAGGGCCGAATATCCTTTTTTTCCCAATGTAAGTGGAACTCCTTTAGAAAAGTTCACTGAGAAACAAAAAGTAGGGTTAATATTTTTTTCTTCAGTGCAATTTTTGTGAACATTATTTTGAGCACATGCCTCAGCATTTTGTACACTATGGACTCTTTGCGGCTTAGTAGTTTTTATTTTAAGACATTACCTGGAGTAAGCATGGACTATTTTTCTCCTATTAGGAAATCAACATTAGCATTGTCTATGACTGAAGTTCATATTTAGGAACATTTGATTATACCTATTTCATTCAAGCATTTAAAAAGCCAAGAATTTACACAAGTTTATACTTGGTTTAAAATGCTGTTGTGTTATGTTATGTCTGTGTGAGACAAAACAAACAACTTCAGTGATTTCCTGGTTTGAGTGGTCTTCTATTTATAATGCAAACGAAGGAGTTAGATAATCATGAAAAATTTATTTCTATATATGATCTATTTAATTAGTAATTAAACTGCTATTTTTAGCAATTGCTGAACTTTTTATATATATGGTTCATATAATATGAGTTATAATCATACAGAGTTTGTGATTTTATGATAGGCTAGCACAGAATGGATGTTAAAGAACTTACCAGGATGGTAACTTGGTAAAACTTCACTACTTACTACTTATGTTCAACTGCTACAATATTACATCAGAAGTTTTTTTAAACCATTTCAAATTTAATATGCTTAAGCTAATAGTTTTTCACAATTAAAGAATACTTTAGCTCATCCATTTTTGTATCTCTGATTTTGATTTCATTATATGATTTTGTTTATATGCCAAAATTATATAGGCACGTTCAAATTTTGAAGTCATATCTACAAAATCTCTGTATGTTGATTGCTATAAACAGGAATAATCCCTAATTTATGTTAAACTGTAAGTGAACAATTCCAAATAAGTAACATCTACAAATTAAATCCTTCCCTGAAACAATACCAACTTATGAAAAGAACAAAACATTATTAGCAGTAAATGAAAGAGCATGTGGAAAAGCGCAAGTGCTCAGGAAATATTTTTTTGTTCTATATAAATATTTGTTATATTTAAATTCATATTAGGTAGTAATGAAGGTAAGAACCAGATGGTAAGATATCCTATCATATGATGATAAGCTGATTGCCTATAAGAATGGGATAAACTATTTTAAATAGTTTGTAGCAAAAATAGTAACTTTATAGAACTGAGCAATGTTTGTCACAAAAACAGTTATCTCATTCTGACTCCCTAGTAGTAAAATTTAGATTTCTCTTGTCTAACTTTTTAAAGACAACCGTTTTAAGAATTAGAAAGCATGTGTGCTTTTAAGCATTGAAGTTTAAAAAAAAAACAGAAACCTGAAGATAGCAATGTTTATTCTCCCAACTGATTTGTGGCATAGCACATCCACATAACAATTTTTTAATCGTTTAAAGTCACAATAGTAACTTTGTTACATTTGTATAGTATTTGTGCTGATAAATAAAGGGAGACTAGTATAGATCTATTTCAAGCTATTTAGCTCTCATCAGCTAGCCATACCCTTACTGGTAGTACTATACAAATACATTTGTATTTTACTATACAAATGTAACAAAGGCAACAGTAAAATATTGGGCTTTCTGTCTGGATGGTCTCTTGTGACGAGCCGATGGACAGAGAATGGAAACAGTTAGGTTCCTCCCATAATTGGGGCATACCAGGGGTTGTGACTTTAAATATATACCTTTCTCCCTGGCTCTGCTGATAACGGATCAGAGCCTGTGGCTTAGTGGTTAACACATCTGCCTAATATGCAATACAGCCCAGGTTCGAATCCCAGTAAGGGTATGGCTAGCTGATGAGAGCTAAATAGCTTGAAATAGATCTATACTAGTCTCCCTTTATTTATCAGCACAAATACTATACAAATGTAACAAAGGCAACAGTAAAATATTGGGCTTTCTGTCTGGATGGTCTCTTGTGATGAGCCGATGGACAGAGAATGGAAGCAGTTAGGTTCCTCCCATAATTGGGGCATACCAGGGGTTGTGACTTTATATATGTGTGTGTGGTGTGTGTGTTGTATTTGATATATATATATATATATATATATACTGCAGTATTTACCTAGTCATTGATATTCTTTCCCCCTAAAAGTTTATTTTCCCATTGTAACATATACAATAACTGAATTTGTTTCATTTACAAACATGTTTGGACCAATTCTGGCATACTATACAATCTCCTACTTCAAGGAAGAGATAATAATCTCCCTATTAACCAAAATCAAAACAACTCTTAAGTAGAAACAAGTAAGGCACTACATAAGTGAACTTTAGATCACCTTTCATTCCTTGACAAAACTGGCAACTGAATACATTATGTACAGTATGCCTAGATATATATATGCGTGGCATGGCTCTCTCCATGTCTATATATAGACACATGCATTTCTTTTTCTGAAAAAAGCAGCAGGAAAGTCATGCATAAAAAAAGAACCTGTCGCGGATCCTGAGTTTACAGCAACTTCCCTTTAAGGAAAGTGACAAACTTGAGGAAAGCTCTCCCACAAGCGCCTCAGGGCTTCCACTCGCCAAGTCTTTTTTTTCCTAGGGAGGAACTCTGGCCTTTTTCGACCAGTACCAAATTTTCGGGGGTCTTTCGTTCCTAGGTTCATGTTATTCACGACGAATTCCTCACTGTCAAGTTAGGTCAAAGAAGCCCGACAAAGGCCTTTTGAAATTTGAGCTTGGCGGGCGTGCCGAAGTCAGGAGCGGCTCGCTGACAGGAGACGTTTGGGGAGCGGGACGAGGATCGCGCGCTCGTCGTCCAAAGGAACCAGTAACATCCTAGGGGGGGGGGGGGGGGGAGACAAACCAAGCCCCTCCGCCCATCCCAAGTCCGAACCGTCCCGGCGCTTGGCTCCGACTCACCTCGCTTGCTGGGCCGCCCAAGAGAGCCGTCACCGGAACTTCCCCGCCTACCCTTGTGGGGCTTCTTCTCCCCAGAGGAACGGCCAGGCTCCGAGTCCCCGCTGTCCGGACGGTGCCGGTGCCGGTGGTGATGCCGTCGCTCGCAGTGCAGGGCCTGCGGGGGCAGGCTAAGCGGAGAGAAAGTGAAAAGCCCGGCGGGGGCGGAAGGCAGGACAGGAGTCGCTGGGAGGCCGGGAACAGAGGCCGGCGGCGGCAGCGGCTCTGCCTGAGAGGGCCTCACCGTAAGCGGTGGCTGGCTCAACTTCGCCCTCTTGCAGCTCCCAGCATCCCCGAGAGGACCTTTCCGCTTCCTCCCTCCTCCCCTCGGTCGACCAGGCCGGTCGCCGAGTGGCAGCGAAGGCGTCTCTTCCGCGCCCCGGGACACGGTGCGTACCGCAGCGACCTGCGCAGCCATTTCGCTCTCTCCCTCACACACATTTAAATGGCCCGAGCGCCTGTAAACTCTGCGCAGGCGTCGCTTGACACTCTCTGGGAATTGTGGTCCGACCTTGCACGTCGGGATCTGTAGTTTTCGTTGACTGGACGTGCGCTTGTTTATGCAAAGGTTGCTGGGAAATGAAGTCTTCGCTCCGGTTTTCAGTAGTTTTCAATGAAGAGGAGCGTGCAGGGAGTCACGCAGCACGGCCACATCACGTAGACTTTGGGCTTTCCGGTGGGGGAGTGGAGGTAACTTTCAACCATGCGTGAGTGGGTGGGGGGAATCCCGATGTTTCATGGAGCATGCGTATTAGTTCAGCTTTGGATCTTTTCTATGCTGAGGTTAGATAGTGGGAATTGTATTGTTATGAAAGTTGGGATTTCTAAGCACATGCAGAGTGCGTATGATCGCCTTTAATATATGTAATTCAGATCATGGTTTCCGTTTCATTGGGGACTGATTGAGTAGTCAGTACTTTATATGAGCTTAAAACCAGCCACAGGAACATGTATTGTGTAAATGTATAGAGTGCTGAAAATGCTAAAGTCCCGAAATGTGCATGCGCGTTATTAAAGAAAATAAACAGCACTTTGGAATGATTCGATAGTCGAACGATTGTAACCTTATTTTACCGAGGCTAGCAGCTCAGGCTGCTTTATGTTGCTTACTTCAGGTAGGGTAAAGCTTCCCCCTCATACATATGTGCTATTCGTTCCCGGCTCTAGGAGGCGGTGCTCATCTCCATTTCAAAGCCAGCTCCGTAGTCATGTGGCCGGCACGACTAAACACTGCCGCACGGAAGGTGTTACTTTCCCACAAAAGGTTGTTCCTATGTTTCTACTTGCCTTTTACATGCTTTCCAACTGCTAGGTTGGCAGAAGCTGGGACTTCAAGTAACGGGAGCTCACCGGCGCTAGGGATTCGAACTACCGACCTTTCTGAAGGACAAGGTCAGAGTCTTAGCCACTAAGCCACCATGTCCCTTGCTTACTTTATGCTTAGCTCATTGAGTCATTGGATGAGAACTAATAGATTTCCGTGAAATTAGAAATATAATTAGAAGAGGCAGACCAAACCCCAAAGGTTAAGTTTTTGACTGGCTTACAGTTCTTCTCTGTAATTATTAATAATTTCCCTCAATTTCCTGGTTGGGTAGGATGGTCTTTGCTACAGGGTTAAGGGTCTCCCCATATTCAGTGAGGTATGTATGTATAGTAGCACATGTTTTGAAAAATGCATTTCATTCAGCTGCTTTTAAAGTGTATTTTAAGGTTTATTGTGCACATTCTGCAATTTGTCCTCTTAATGTTATGATTTTAACTAAAGTCTGGTGCTTGCTTTTCGCTTAATTCCCACAGCACTGTCTCATTTCTCATCTTCTCATCTTTCCTACTATCTTCTACATGATTTATCTTCTTCCTTATGATTTATCAGTTGTTGTTTGTAACTTGTGATTGGTGATTGTAACTATAATTTATGATCTATGACCTTGCTTTTTAGATGTACACTGTGAGCTTATGCACCAGAGACAAATTCCATGTGTGGCCAATGACACTTGGCCAATAAAGAATTCCATTCCATTCTATTCTATTCTTATTTTGTATCCTAATTTAAGCAGGCCCCTGGTGGAAATTTATTCTGCTTTCTTAAAACTTTCCAAAACAAAGTTACTTTTTCAACCAGCTCCAGAGCATTTGAGCTGCACTCAAAATGCATTCTCAAAAGGCTACACGTATTTCATAAAGGGCAAAACTAAGACTGATACATGCAATCCGAGAACAATAGTGATGCAAATACATGGTGGATAACAATGTAGCAGGAAAAGTGTGCTAGTCTTCGGTGACAAAAAATAAACAGAGTAATGTGGCTTGATTGTAATTTAAACTGAGATGGGAGGGGAAGAGATCTGTAACCTGCACTGCACAACCAACCTGCGCCCCCTGCCTCATCTTATATAGCCATTCAATGCTTCTGATGAATAGAACAGCAGCTCATAAAAGCTTATGCCTTTTAATAAAAATGTGTTAATTGGAAAAGGTGCTACCAGATGTCTGAAACAGTTTCTTGTAAGATTAAAAGACAATGCCTAAAAATTACAGAAATTAATGGGAATGTATGGACTGGGTGATATTTGAGAAATGATGAATCCATCAACAGAAAGATTTACATATTATTTGGGTAAGGACTCTTATTATCCAATGATAGATTATCTTGGGGGTTTTAAAACTTTTTAAATTGACTGTAGTGAGTAAAAATTGCACCAATAGGAATTTCAGACCATGCTCCAGTTAAATCTGAATTTAATTTGGATGAAAGCATCCCAGTCCTGTTCAATTAATGGAGAGTCTGTGGCCTTTAAGAGGTTGTTACACTAATAAGATACTACATAACAAAGAAGAAATCAAATTGCAAATAGGTCAGTTTGTCTTGGTGAACATACAGTAGCTCCAGCTCAGCGCTTTTTTAATGTGAAGGGTATAAGAAGAATTCCATCTCACTGCATAAAATACTTTATTTGAGAAATTAAATATTAATTACCTAAAATACATTTGTTATTATTGGGAAAAAAATTAGGCAATCTCCCTGTAGATCTAAAAGAATCTTTAGATATAGACATGGGGGGGGGGGGAATGGTAGATAGAAAATGACAGTGTTTTTGGTATTGTTCCTGATGTTGTTTCTTTATTAATAGCCTTTTCAGATGTATGACTGTTCTTCTTATTACTGATAGCATTTCTGTGAATTGCTAAATTGTACATAAGATAAGTACTATAACTCTTATAGGGTAGTTGTTCAGTAAGGTGTCTAATTTTAATGAAAAGAGTAAGTTCCTACTTCTATTTAGGCAACAAAAACAAAATGCACAGGTATAGTATAGGTGGTACCTTGCTCAGTAGTGGTAACTGTGAAAGGGGTCTTGGAGTCCTAGTGGACAACAATTTAAATATCAGCCAGCAGTGTGCAGCAGCTGCTAAAAAGTCAACATAGTTCTAAGCTACATAAACAGAGGGATAGAATAAAGATCACATGAAGTGTTAATACCACTTTATAAAGCCTTGGTAAGGCCACACTTGGAATACTGCAATCAGTTCTGATCACCACGATGTAGAAAAGATGTGGAGACTCTGGAAAGAGTGCAGAGAAGAGCAACAAAGATGGTGAGAGGACTGGAGACTAAAACATATGAAGAACTTTTGCAGGAACTGGGTATGTTTAGTTATGTATTACAGTAATACAATAGCAGAGTTGGAAGGGACCTTGGAGGTCTTCTAGTCCAACCCCCTGCCTAGGCAGAAACCCTATACCATTTCAGACAGATGGCTAT